TGCCTCAGATGTTACTCTGCACTCCCTTGAATTTTGCAATGAAAAGACAAGGGCCTCCAGTATGATTACATTTCATGGCCTTTTGACTACATGGCTTACATTTCTGCTTCTGTTTATCTCGTTCTCAGATCTATGTGCACACGTGCATATATGCACACAGTATCCTCCAGCTGAGGATTACATTCCATGCTTGGGTTGAGATTGCTCTAGTTCTTGTCGTGTGAGTTTTTGCCATATAAAATGGTTAATTTTTAAGCAACATCCTTGGCTCCCTTTACTGCAGTACCTTAGCGTTGCTACTTCCCTTTGCTTCTCTGAGGATGAGTTATAGCATCTTATACAGGTAGTCCTCGACTTACAACAGTTCATTTGGTGACTGTTCAAAGTTACAATAGCACTGAAAAAACTGAGTTATTACTGTTTTTCACATTTCATTGTTGCATCTCCATAGTCACATGATCATAATTTGGGTGCTTTGCAACTAGTTCATATTTATGGTGGTTGTAGTGTCCCAGAGGTCATGTGATCAGAATAGAATAGAGCTAGAAGGGACCCTGGAGGTCTTCTAGTCCAGCCCCCTGCTTAAGCAGGAGATCCTATACCATTTCAGACAAGTGACTGTCCAGTCTCTTCTTAAAAACCTCCAATGATGGCGTGCCCATGATTTCTGAAGGCAAGCTGTTCCACTGGTTAATTGACCTCACTGTCAGGAAGTTTCTCCTCAGTTCCAGGTTGCTTCTCTCCTTAATTAGTTTCCACCCGTTGTTTCTTCTCCTGCCCTCTGGTGCTTTGGAAAATAAATTGACCCCCTCATCTTTCTGATAGTCCCTCCAATGCTGGAATACTGCTATCATATCCCCCATTCCTTCTTTTCTCTAGACTAGTCAAACCCAAATCCTGCAATCATTCTTCATATGTTTTAGTCTCTAGGACTTTAATCATCTTAGTTGCTCTTCTCTGCATTTTTTCCAAAGTCTCAACATCTGTTTTGCAGTGATCACCTTTTGTGACCTTCTGAAAGCAGTCAATGGGGCAGCCAGATTAATTTAACAACTGTTTTACTAACTTAACAGCTGCAGTGATTCACTTAACAACTATGGCAGGAAAGGTCATAAAATGGGGCAAAACTCACCTAACAACTCACTTAGCAATAGGCATTTTGGCTCAATTGTGGTTGTAAGGATTACCTGTACTTGGTACCAGGCTGGAAACTGGAAGGCAATGAGTTCTAGTCCCATTTTAGGCTCAAAACCACTGGCCAGTTTTGGGCCAGTTAGTCCCTTTCAGCACTAGGAAGCAGGCAAGGGCAAATGACCTCTAAGGAAAGCCTTGAAAACTGTAGGGGGACGTTCGCAGGAATCAAAACTCAAAGGCTCAAAAATCAGGAATCATGACTCAAAGGCACCCCTCAAATGTGGGGCACATAGAATTAGGTAGCTAGACTGAGACCCTTTCTCACACTATGCTTTGGTGACTTTTTTAAAACAGATTTACATTATGTGAAGTAATCTTGGTAGTTGTCAAACTCCATGAATGTGGGAAGATTGAGGAAGAAAGAATTATACAGACTTTATTTATCTTTAATGCAAGATAAAGACAGAACCAAGGAAACGCAAGAGAAATGCCAACCCTTGTTTGTGGTGAGTTCATTAAGGTAGAGTCTCTCAGAGCATTTTAAATAGTTTTATTTTCAGGGTTTTGGCCACTTGATAAACTTGCTGTTTAAAAAATCCTAGAGTGCCAATAGATTCTTCTGCTATCTCGTGATTGTTTAGTCCTAACTTTTCCTTCCTAGCCTCTTCAATGTTTCTCACAGTAATTGTATGTAAGTTACTGAATGGCTGAGTTGGGGGCAATGGCTATTTTAACTGCAGCAATTCATAGTACTAGATTCTTCCCTTTTCTGATATACCCCATCTAGTTGTTAAAACAGTCACCTGTTTTCCTGGTGCCATTCTTGGAAGAGCACAACAAGAGAAACTTTTAAAATCATTTGCAGATAAAAGAAAAAAAAACTTTTAATTTCATTCCTTCTAATTACTGTATTCACCAAGAGTCTCTTCGTCTTGCTGGAGAGAAGGGAGGGGTAAGAACAGAGAACATAATGTTGAGTTTGACACTAGAAAAGATAGCCTATTCTCTCCTGCTGGTTAATTACTGATTTAGCTGTATTTGTCTCTTGTTCTGAGGAGGGAGAAACAGGACAAAGGGACATAGAATTTATGCTTTCTGTCTGCTTGCTGGAATTAAGGAAAAATACAACAGGAAGACCAATAAATTTAGTTATTTGGATTATGTATTCTGTATGGGAAAAGTTGGTGCAGTATTTCTCTGGCAATGAGAAATATATCACAATCATACCATGTAATAAGCCAAAATGAAAACGCATCAGGAATATGCCTGCTTGTGCATGAATGGTTCAGCTACGAAACATTGCTTTAATATATTGTGTATTGCATTATCTACAAGATACATCTCAGGCTGCCTAAAAAGCACCCTATAAACAAGATTAGCTCAAAACATGGATTATACTTTCCAGAAGTATAAATATAACATTAAACAACAGTTCTGTTGGGAGGGACAGGGCCAACATGGATAAGTAGGTGTCAGCTGACAGTAGGCTTTACCTCAACAACCATTGTGCTGCTGAATAAGGCCATAGAGTATCCCAGTAGCCTGGGTTCCATAGAATACATTTTGAAACTAGATTTTTAAAGGAATCTGCGATTGGCTCTCACATCCTGCCACAAAAGTCTAGCCAAGAAGGACTGATCCCTGGATGTAGGTTTCAGGGCTTTTGGTAAATGGTAAAACGGGTTTATTTTAGATTCAAGACTTTCCTAATTAAAAGAACTGCTTGGGAAGCTGCTTGGCAAGTTGACTGAAAGAGTTTGCCCATGGACCCCTTGGGTGTGTCTCTTGTTTAGGGGTCACAAAAGAGGGATAGGGAAGCTGAGGTTTCAAGCTGCCTTGTACCTGCTTCCTCAAAACAGGCCTTCCAAAAAATGCTGAAAAAAAGAAAAAAAAAGTCCATCCCCTTGACATTTCTGTTTCTATTGGTGATGCCCATTTTGCTTGACATTAAAAGATTTTGCAAAGGTCTGCCAAAATTTAAAACCCTGGCTCCCAGAAAGGCAGAGGGTCAGCACCACGATTAAACAGTGGCTTTTGATAGTGCTTACTACATCCTCCCACTTCAGTGAGGTATTAAAGTCATCTGTCAGGGCTGCCAGATGCTCCATTAATAATGGATTGGCAGCATGAAGAGTCTGTCAAGGATGGATGTGCCAGTGACAGCAGCAAAAGCAAACAGAGGAAGAACTGGGAGGAATATGTTTGGCTTCTTGATTCTAAATGTACAGTCAGGGGGCAGTGAAGATGCTGGGAGGACAGCCATGATCGTTAATGTGCCACACTGAAGTACAAAGTAGCAGGTGGGAGTCAGAGGTAGACTTCAAACATCTGAACATGTTTTTAGTTATTAATATTTAGCTAGCGACGTTACTGCTTGTTCAATGCTGTCAGTTGCTCTTGATGGTTCTACATATTGCAATTTTACAATGAAAATGATGTAAAAGACAGCCTAAACATAGATTGTAAAAATTGTGCAGGAGCTGAATCTTCACCATGCCCTTTAAGTTCAAGCTGTTCTGTCAGGCTAGTTTATTTCTGATTGTGAGAGGATGGAGGGTTTGAAAAATGCCTGGCATGAGAAACTCTGAGGAAGTAAAGAGATTCTCCCATTCTGTCGCCACACCTTGTATGTTACCAGATCAAATAACTTAGGAGATATTTCATTGCCAAATTAGGTAACATCATCAGGGCATTGATGTCACCTAGTTTGGTAATGAAATATTCACAAAGACACCACCAAGCTTAGAAAACAACAAGGACCCCACAGTTCAACCCTGAGCTACAAGTATTTTATTCTATCAGTACTTGCACTTATATTGGGGTAGTTTGAGAAATTAACCCATGCCAAGGAGGAAGTACTAATAAGCAACTCACATTGGACTTTAAATTGAAAATATTTCATGTTGCCTATCAGCTTCATATTGCCAGCCAAAATTGTCTGGACCACTTGGAAATACATAGATTATCTGAAAAAAAGTCTGAAATAACCGGAAAGAGGATACCTTTTTTTTCAAGTTCAGGGGTTACTCATGAATACATTTATATACCTGGATGCTTTTAGCTAAATACCCATCAAAACATGAGTTCTTCAAATACACCTTCCAAAATAACTTTGGCTGCTCACATTAGATACTATCTATTGTTCCTCACTCTCCTGAGCTGTTAGAAGGGAATTGACCATAAATATATAAAGATGAATTGCAGTTTACTGTCTGATTTCTGGGCAGTTTAGGATCTTAAGACTTCCAATTTTCACGCAATAATAACGAGGATGAGCATATATTTTCTGTCACATTATCAACTAATACTATCTCTATTTATCACCTAATGTAATGTTTGTCCCTGTCAGAATATTATCCCAATTCTACTAATCTAATTTATCTGGCTATCAGGCAGGAGTCTGGTGAAAGATATAGATATTCGCAATGTATCCTTTTGGTTCTGGGCAGTCGAAGCTGAATTTTAAAAAAAATGTTTTTAAATTCATTATTAATTTTTTAAATATAATTTTTAAACCACCCATCTTCAAATGTATAGGGTCAATGTTATAAGTAAACATAAAATAAAAAATTACGTTCTCATCAAGTCAAAAAGAATTCCACCTGTTTCCTCCTGCATCCTCTCTCCTTTCACCTCTATTGCCCTCCTTGGTATTTTTTCTTCCTTTGTTTTCTTCCTTCTGAGGGCATTTAGAGACTGCACATGGAGGATGCAGAGGAGGAGTGGCAGTTGAAGGAGAACTATGTACCTCTTGCCCACCAAAAGTCCCCTACAGCTCTCCTCATTATAACATCTCATTCTGCCAAAACGGCATTCACTTAAGTAGCAAACATATTAGGTTGAGGTTGGTAACAGAGACGTAATGATTTGTTGAACAAGTAAGTTTATTGTTGTAACCATAACATAGTGTCATAACATAGTGTGCCATAAAATGCAATAAAGATAACAGTAAAATAGTAAGATTGTAAAATAAAGTAATGAAAGAGTCACAAATTACTTTGTCGTTGAAGAATCATTCTACCATTAGATTTTGCAAATAAGTTATTGCTTAAAAGAAAGAAAGAAAGAAAGAAAGAAAGAAAGAAAGAAAGAAAGAAAGAGAAAGAAAAAGAAAGAAAGAAAGAAAGAAAGATCCAGCCTCCCCAATTCTGTAAACTATGTTTGACTAGGGGAAAAAAAAGAGAACCAAAAATCTGAGGTTGCATGGCCACCTGGCTGTCATCTGGAGTGACTTTCATATATTTATCAAATGTGTATCCCATTCTAGCAAACTAGATGGCCCTAATTTTGATTTTTTAAGAACCCCTTCCCCACTAGGTGAATTATCATCTGTGCTAAACTCATATATTGTGTTAGAAGGGCATTTTTATTATCATGTATTATCTGGTATGTCCTTCTACTGTGTTTTGCAGCCTTAAAGAGCTGAATTGTTGTTGTTATTATCATGTCTCTAAGTGTTCTTACGCTGATCTGACAGAGATTGCTTATGCAGTCAAAACATCTAAAGCACTTTCTATCTGCAGTGGATCAGATTTTTAAAAAAATCTTTCCACTCTTTCCCTGGCAAGGCAAAATGACCATATTTGCTTACTTGTATTCTGGCATACTATGAAGCAGCCAAACATGGGCAGATAAACTTTTCTTTTTCTTTAAAAAAGCAGAGTTTTGCAAACAACATCAGAACAGGAGGTTAAGTAAAAAACCCAAATATTCTAGTTGGATGATTGGACCAATCAGGATGATAAAGAAATTGGAAGAACAGCAGTAGCTGTCCAGTGTGGACATAGTTACAAACCTGGTGAATAATAATGCTTCTCCCCAAAAGTTATTCAAATGAAATTTCTCTCTTGCTTAAACATAGTATCTGGAACAAGGAGTCACACTGCAAGCTCCTGCTGACAGATTGGCTAAATTATTTGCTAAAATCTCACATAAAACCCAATCCATTCTTTTCCAAACCCACCTACTTGTTCTTCTTTTCACGGTATCATATATCCCTCCTTTGTTTGACAAGCCTTTCTCCTCAGTTCCACATGGAATCAACTGAGGAAAGGTCTTGGAGATAATGAGGGAATAAAAGAACATCTATCTTTGTGACAAACACACAGATGCACCATTCCAAACAATGAAAACTTAAACTAGATCAGTAGGAACAGAATAGAGTTCGTGAAAAATATGCCACAGTAAAATACGGAGAAAATTCTTTCTGGAGAGGTATATCATATCCTTTTTTGAAATATCTGAAAGTTAAACTTAGCTTTCAGCCCATTGTCTGACTCAAATAAACTTGCATCTGAATCTGAAATACAAGATTTATTGCAGAATGTGTTTAACAATTAACACTAAATACCTTGACAGAGCAGTCTCTTTGGCTAAACCTGGCAGATAAAATACATCCTTCTGTCAGTTCCTGTGAAGTGTGTGGAGGTGTAAATTGATAGAGGATGTTGAAAATAATTCAGTTGCAAGATGTTCAAGGGGCTGCAAGTTCATATTTTCCCATATGCTTGGAAGAGCAAAGAGACTCTGGCTGTTTCCTCTGAGAGTTTTTTTGGTTTTTTTTTTTTTCTTAGACAGATAGGAACAAGTGCAGACTTAAATCTCTGGCTGTCCACCTTCTTCTAAAGAGATCATAAGAGACAGAAGGGAAGCTATCCACAAAGTTTCTTGGCTTTGGCTGGGATTTGATTAATCCAGATAGCAAGGATTCTGTCAGAGAATGCAGTCCTTTAATGGTGAGAACTAGATGTTGCAAGAAGACAGCCAAGAAAGTTCTCATAGACAGCTTCTTACCAGCAGTTTGACAACACCGAGGCTTAGTACTCCATAAAGAACTTTTATTGAGGGCTTTGTCTGTGAACATTGAACTACCATATCCCATGATTTCTTCTTTTCAGGTGGTTAGTGTTGCCTTCATAAGCATATTGTGTTTGTGTTTTTTTTCTTTTGAAGAGTATTTCATTGGGTGAACTATTTCCTCTGCTTTGAAGTGGCATAGCCTGGACACTGATCACCTTAGGAAAAAAAAATAGGTTTAGGGAGTGGGCGTTTAAAAGTTTGTACAGTGTTAATAAAGCAGATAGGAAGATGTCATTAATACAAGACAGGATTCCTGATAATGCTGAATAGTGGGGTAGCTTCAGAAAAAACAAAAGGAGCTGCTTATTCACACAGTTCTTGTCCTAAACTATGGAGTTAGCCGTCATAACACCTCCAGAACAATAAGGAAGTTATTTCAGGCTGTTGAGTTTGATTTCTTATCATAGTGAAAGAACAATAAGATGTAGCATTAATCTTCCTAATAACAGGTTCATACAAAAATTGGTTGTTCAGTTTTTAAATCATATTAAAATAATAGAAGCCAAATAAATACTTGAAGCCTGGAAAAATAAAATGGACATGAAAAAAGAACATGAAGAAGGCACCAAATGAAGGGGGGGGCTCCTACTTGGTAGCCTCTTTTCACAGCCAGGGCGCCTCCTGCTCCTTCTTGAAGGCAGAAGCTGAACAGGAACTCTAGATCCAAGCCTTCTCTGAATATCATCCCTACAGAGATCAGATTGGCCCCAACTCTGCCAGCCTTTCACAAGGCCTGGAAAACATGGTGTGGTAAACCTTGCAGTAGCTATACTGATTGTTATTGATGGATGTGACTGCCTCCCTCTGAGGTTTATGAATTCGTACACTTTTATTATGGCTTTTTTACACTTTTTATATTGTTTTTAAATTGTTGTATTTTTTTTCATCTGTTAATTGCTTATAAGCAATTGCTTATAAATTGCCCAGAGTCTTATAGACAGTAACTATATAAATTGAAAATAAATTTGTGTTCATTCATTCATTCATTCATTCATTCATTCATTCATTCATTCACAGGGTGAAAGTGATATGTTAAATCATCAAGCCATCCAACCCCTTGCTCAGTTGAGGAATCTAAATTAAAGCATCCCCCACAAATGATAGTCTACCCTCTATCTGAACACATTGAAGGATAATCCATTATCTATGGGTAATTTGTTTCATTGTCAAACTGCTTTTGCTGTTAGGACTTTTTTCCCTAGCATTCCATTAGAATGTGCTTTTCTATATCTTAAATCCATTATTCTGTGTTCCACACCATGGAACTAAAGGAAAACAGGTCTTGATCTTTTTCTGTGTGATCCTCTTTTGAGTATTTCAGAAGCAAAGCATTCCCAATTCCTTCAGTCGTTCTTCAGAGGATTTTATTTTTAGTCCCTTGATCATTTTGGGTGCTCTTTACCAACCTTTCCTTTTACCTCATGTTTTAATCCTACAGCTTTCTTTTACTCTTCCCAGCTGCCTAGTGAAACATATAGACTTGTTGGAAAAAGATTTAGCAGTTCTACCTTTTCTTTGTGGCCTGTTAATATTTTGCCATTTTTTACTGAGAAACTGATCTAGTAATTATTTTTTCTTCTCTGAATTCTGAACCCTTTTTTGCTGCTCCTTGCTTCTTTTGCTCATTCTTAACTTTAGCATTCCAGACACAATTTCTGCAGTTCTCGACTCCTTTTGTCTTTCTTTTAACCTCCTCTATATCCTTTTTTTTAGGTCTTTAGTAGCCTTTTCGTGTTGCCACATTGACTTCTTTCTACTTCCATTTTCTCATTTTTTAAAGGAACTCCCATCCATCTTGAGCTCTTTTCCTCTTATGCCAAGAGGAAATATCCCAATTATCCCAATTATCATTGCTGTGAGTTTATTAAAATCCACTTTTTAGTCAAGATACATATTTGACTAGCTTTATTAAAAAAAAACAAAAACCCAAAAGCAGCCTGACTTAATCACTTTCCATAAGGTTTGTGGTACTTCTATTTCCTCAACTTTTCCTCATGACCATAATAATGGGCCTTATTTCTGTCTTTGAGTCAAAAGGAAAAATATATTGTCATAAATTGCACTGTCCTCACAGGCTACCTTTTCTGTGCATCAGCAGTTCTGCCAAGCTGTATCACTACCCTTCCATAACGTAATACAACAGTTTGAGGTAGTGCTAAAGCACCAGGCTAGAAATGAAAGACCATGAATTCCAGTCCTCCCTTAAGTATAAGGCCAGCTGGGTGACTTTGATCCAAGCATGCTGTCTCAGCCTAGGAAGGAGGCAAGGGCAAAGCACTTCTGAAATCTTGCCAAAAAAATGGCAGGGATTTGTCCAGGCAGACATCTTTCTGTAATCTCACTACATCAGAAATTCCAGCCTGTAGTAACCTAGACGGCCTTGAAATGGCAACACAATAGAAAATGGATATCAAACTTCTCCCCTATATTCCCCCATCTCCAAATGTCTGCCTAAGTGATCAGAAAAGTCAATTCACAGAGGAATTCAAACCAAAGTGCTGGCAATGCTATTGTGCATCTAGATATTTCTTAGCACAGTAAGTAAAGCTTATTTTGAGCCCACAATTTTATGTGTCAGTTAATATTCATCCAAGAACGGTCAATTCACTTGATCCTTCCTCCACCTTCTGAAGGAGAAAGTTGGAAGGATTGTGCTGGGCAGAGTTTGTCTCCCAACAAATTTGGGGCTAGTCAAATTCCACATCAGTATTACTTCTCATTGGAAAATGTTCAGTTTGGTTTTAGAAGCATTTCAAAATATTTTTTCTTAATTGGTTGGTCAGTAATATATACCAACAACAATATTGTTTTTACTTGTTCCTCCATCTATTTTTAACCCAGATGTTCTCTACAATGCTGCCAAATTCATTCACCTGGGTTTCTAAGCAAGAGTGTAATACTTCTAACAGTTCCTCTTTCCTCCCAATTGCTTCTGTTCTTTTTAAACAGATTGTATCTTTCAAATCTATTATCACGCCAAAGGCAGTGGAACATTGTTCTTAAACATTTCCTAAGGTATAACTGCAAATTTAATCCTACACGAAATAGGATATAGGAAAGCTCTGAATTGTCCCTTTCAGTATGTATTGTAACATGTTTGCCCAAATCTAGGAGCTTCTCTTCTCTGGATGCAATGCATAGGCAAGCAACTGTTTGATTTTTGTACTTAATTTTTATAACATTCTATCAAGCATCTTTTTATAATCAAAATCCCAAGCTGTTGTTAAAACAACTCTATTTAATGGATTAAATCAAGCCGGATTGGCTTTTCATCTTTTTGGTTCCTTCTCTCAGTGCTTTATTCTTTTCTGTTGAGCAGATGGTTGCATTTAAAGCTTAAAATCCTGCTTTTAGGGCTGCACCCAGATCTGATGGAAAGATATGTGTATCCAGTAATGCAATGGTTGAGCCAAATTGGATGCCTCAGTGTTGAAGAATTTTGAAACTGGACAGCGTGGATTAAGTTGTAGCATTTTGTAACTTTAGCTTACATTTGATTTAGCCAGTCATTGTGCCCTGGGGAGGCCATTTTAATAGCTGTGCTCAAGTGAAGCGAAAAAGACATTGTCAATATGCAAACACTAAAAAGAATTTCCTAAGAAGGCAGAACCTTCTGCAGTGCAGAATTGAGGCTGCAGGCTCCCTTGGGCTCATTTCAGTTCTCTGAATTTCATTTGGATGTAAGAACAGGGAGAGGTTTGAAAAAGAAAAGGGTGTGTCAGATGTGGATGGGCACCTTATCCATCATCCTGCCTTATTTTCCATGTGTCCCCAAAGGAAACAAGCCCTCAGCTATAGTTCATAAATGTACTAAACATGGAAGGGAGACCAATGTGGTTATAATTCATATCAAGAATTTAGGGAGCTCATCTATTATCTAAATAGCCTTCACAGTACCTTCATCTACTTGGGGTCCAGTTTAAAGCATTGACAGGAAACGCTGTAGTCTTTCCTTGAATACTGTGATTACAGAGCTTATCAATTCACAAGGCATCTGCTTGTAGTGTGGAGTCATTCTGACTACTTTGAATGTTTTTCTAAAATCTGACACCTTAGAGATTAATTCTATTTTTCTTTGTCTAGAACCCTGAGACACTGAAAACAAGTAACAGATTATCGTGTTGAAACTTTTCTTCAGTGTAATATCATTTTCCCCCTAATCTATTTTATAAGTCTGCTGTGGATAAATGATCTGAAATGTTTCACTTTTATAGTATCATCACATGGAAATTTGCATGTCTCACAATCAAGTTATTGGGTTGGTGTTAGTTAATTTTAATAATTAGATTCCTTTCTAAACAGATACAAACAAGAATAAACATCCCAAAACATGTGAATAGATAAACTCCTGGTCCACACTGGATACTCCAACTGGACTATGCTTTTTGCATGTGAGAATTCAAGCATGAGATTGTCATGATGTCTGCATTCAACCGATGTCCTTAAACTTCTTTTAATATTTTTTCTTGTTAAAATGAATGGTTATTTACATATTAATCTATTTTGTGGTTCAGTCTGTATGACCTTTCATTCTTGTTTGAAATCTTTCAGTCCTATTAAATGGTAGAATATCCTTAATACTGTTGGGGGGGTGGGGGGAGTGGTAAATTACATAAAATGTAATGTTCGAATCTAAGCCCTGAAAATTAATAGTGTATTCTAAGGGTTTGAACATATCAAATGTTAAAATGTTGACTGAAGCAGAAAACTGTTTCTCATTTCATCTTTATTCTATTTACTTTACGATCTGAGCTCAGACAAAATGTGTCTGGCAGTGCCTGTGTCTCTAGTTTCTTCTGCAATCATAAGGAAGTCTCTGTATGCATGGTTGGGTTGCTGACACATATATTCTGTTTGATTCTACATTCCAGGGCATGCAGATCTTCTACATACATTTCTCATGTACAGTTAAGCAATGTATCTAGCTGTATCAAGTGTGGGAATTATTGAATGCAAGCTTGAGTTTCTAGAAAGCTATGTTTACAGTGGTGGGTTTCAAAATTTTTTACTACCGGTTCTGTGGATGTGGCTTGGTGGGCATGGCATTGCTTGGTGGGCGTGGCAGGGGAAGGATACTGCAAAATCTCCATTCCCACCCCACTCCAGGGGAAGGTTACTGCAAAATTCCCATTCCCTCCCAATCAGCTGGGACTCGGGAGGCAGAGAATAGATGGGGGCGGGGCCAGTCAGAATTTTTACTACCGGTTCTCCGAACTACTCAAAATTTCCACTGCTGGTTCTCCAGAATGGGTCAGAACCTGCTGAAACCCACCTCTGGTGCTGAGCAATCTAGTGTGAAGTGTAACATATGGTGGTCAAGGAAATACCTGTTTTAAATCTCTATCTGGCAATGGAGAAAAAGAGAGAAGATATTCCCAAAGACTGGTTGAACCATTAAGAATGGACTCTCATGCTTTATTTAGGTAGCCTTTAGAAGTAACAGCTAAGAAAAGGCTTTTCAGTTTTCTCTTTCAAACACTTCAGCCATGTAGGATCATGTGACCAAAGTGGCATCGAATCAAATTGCTTACCACCCTGGCACCAAAGTGCCCATGATGCTTAGAGCAGGAATGGCTTCTGAGATTCTCACTACACTATTCTTGCCAGAATTGAGAAAAGGTTTTCTATATCAATCCTCTCCTAGTGCTTCTGATTGTTAACTCCCCTGAAAACTTTAAAGGCAGTGGGATAGGTTGCCTAGGTCAGCAATGACAACAGGAACGGGAGAGGGTATTTAAGAAACCTCTGCTCCACCTCTGACTCCCTCGTCACCAAGGGACAATCAATGATACTCATTCTTGATCTCTCATTGTGAGAGGGATCCAGGGAACCTGTACATTCAGCTGACATTAATAAGAAGCTAAGAAAAAAGATTAAATCTCCCTTAAACTGAGCTTAACATGCCCATGTTTTTCTTGGTAAGAATATTATATGGCAACGATTGCTATTTGGGAGTGAGGTGAAGGTTCTTTCAGACTTTCTGAGCAAGTTCACAACCCTGGAATTTTGGGGGGGATCTCCCATCCAAAAATTAATTTTTAATTGTTTTGAGGTCAGCTAAGATTAACCACAGCACTGAAAATTATTTAGCAATGTTTGCTAGATTCTGATCTTTGCTGTCTGCTCTGCTGCTACTTTAGCTATTTCAATGTTACTTTGCACTTTTGTTCTTTGTAATTGCCTGGATTTATTTATTATAAGTTGCCTAGAGTTATTCCTTTTATTCTAAATAAATATGTATGGTATATATTAATAATAAATTAATCAAAATTGGTCCCGGTGACCAACCCAGATTGGATCCAGCAATATTATTCTGGGACATGTATATTTGCCTTCATTCGTAATAAAAATTAAGCTTAGCCAAAGGTTTGGAAATGTTTATTTATTTATTGTTTTCATTTCCATGTCTTCCTGTTCTCAGACGCTCATATATTATAAATGGGCAGAGAAGAAATAACCAGTGTTTTTATTAAGCATTTATTCATTGTTCTGGCAAGTTTCCTTATTTATACCAATACCGCCAATATATTTTTGGGACAGAATCCAACAGAATAGAAAAATTCTGTAAATAAATATTTTCTTACCATAGTCTTAACCAAATACTTGAAAGCATGAGCTTCATTGTGTGAAGTTAGTATCCTTTTAAAAGTGCTGACTGCATTTGAGTGGAGATGATTTTTCCTTATCTCTCAGAGCACTAAACCTGCTGAAGACTGATGTCTTGCAGTCTCCTCACAAGGAGCAACTGTCTGGAGCACCTTTGGGTGATCTCAAGTCCTCTCCTTATCTGAGAGGAGTTATGAAGAATTAGTCTGCTTGCCAGGTCTTCATTCTGATGTGGTTATTTGCTCCACTTTTACCCAGGCGGTCTTCAGTTTGCCATTTCTTCTCAGGAAATTCAAAATTATCAGTATGTATTTATACTGTTAATCAGTATATGAGAGTGCTAAATTATCAATATATATTTAGGTCAGGGTCACATTCCTCTAATTCTACAGAGCCCTGGCAAAGAGGCTTAGGAAGTCAAAAAACAATACATTAATATACACAAATTCCTGACAGCATGTGCCCACTTAATAAGCACAGAAAATTATTATAATGCCTGTTATAATTTATGAATGTTACAACTTACCTGTGCCAACTTTTCAGGGTTTAAAATTCCATTCTTCTCAGCTGGGCCTTATCTCCACAGCAACCACTGTGAGGTGGAAGAGGCATCTGGAAGCCTTCTAAGCAAAATGAAATAAGAACTCTCCAAGCATGTACCTTTGAAAAATGCTTCTTCCATTTATAATGCAAGTACTGTACCCAAGAGATAAATATTCTTGGGGCACTGATTTGATTAATCTTAAGACTTTTATTTTAACCAATATGGTTTTTTTTCCTGAGCCCTGAAGCTGTTGCTCCATCTGTTGGGGCTCTTTGATGCATCTTCTTTTAGTATTCAAGTGCCAGCAGTCAGCCTGTATCACAAATACAGGAAGTCATTGCTGAAAAGGCAAAGCTACAATGCTGTTTGCCATGTACAGAATATGGTCCTTAAATCTCTCATTGGTTCATGTTATTATGCAATCAAAATAACCACTCTCTCTTAGGCTCAATTTTTGTCAAAATCCAATCCCTTATTCGTTTTAAAAGCAATCTCTGACAAGGATTAGGGGACACATGATAACTGTCTTCCAGTTCTTGAGGGCTGCCACAGGAAAGAAAGGACTGACTTATTCTCCAAAGCACCAGAAGGCAAGATTAGAAGTAGTGGATAGAAGCTTGTTAAAGAGAGATCCCACCTAGAAGTAAAGAGATATTTTCTGACAGTGAGAACAATTAATGGAATAGCTTGCCTCCCAGAATTGTGGGTGCTCCATTACTGGAAGTTTTCAAAAATAGACTGGACAAACATTGACCTGGATGGTATAATATCTCCTGCCTTGAGCCAAGTGTCGGACTAGAAGAGTTCTGAGGCCCCTTCCACCCCTAGGATTTTGGGTTCTATGAGAGAAACCTTTCCCAGTATGGCATGTTTGTTTCCAAATATTTTTGAGCCATAACATTATTTTACGCAAATTAAACACTGCCACAAATGTTTTTAGATACTGCATAATAACTATTTTGAGATGCACCAAGCTGAAGGCTTAATCTCATTCTATATGGAAAAAATGTATCTGCCAGATCCAGGGGTGGGATTCTACTGGTTTGGACCGGTTCAGCTCCGATGATCAGTTGGGAACAAACCAGTTCGTCCCAACGATCAGATGGACCCACCCGCCTGCCCGCGTTATTTTCCTACCTTTATCTTCTCAGCTGAGCTGATTGCTGTGCCTCAGCTGTGTTTCTCCTCCGAAAAAATGTGGAAGTGAAGATTTCCTTAAATTGTGCACACACAATTGTACAAAGCACACAATCACCGAACCGGTTGTTAAACCAGGAGGATCCCACCACTGGCCAGATCTCTCCCTACCTTTCCCCTCACCTACTAAGCAGCTAGATATCTTCTTTTGTTTGCCCTTAATAGTCTCACATGAAGCTTATAAGGTTAAAAAGGAGAATTTCTGTGCTTGGGATCTACTGCTTGCAATTTGCCTATTGAGTGCCACAATGCCACATGCAGTATATCGGATGTAGATTCACACAGGACCGGAAGAGATGCAGACCAACATTGGAGATAGCTCATCCACTCTTGACAGGTCTGACTACAAAGCAATAGCAGAAGTTTTGGTTTTGTAAATTTGTCATTTAAATTTCCTAAACCACCAGCAATTATACTAGGTTGTGATGGAAAGGTCCATTATTTTGGCAAAATTAAAAGTTCAGAATCTCCTCCAGCCTGCAGCAGAATCTAAGTCGCTCAGGCAATGGTTGGAAGTTCTCCCTAAATGAAAGAGGTTCACCCTCCTCCACCTTTAATATTTTATTAAACATTATTTAATATATAAAATATTAAAATGTCTTAATAATTAATAAAGCTAATTGCTTTAGGATTGAGCCCAATAGTTGTTCAAATCTTTTTTGAGGTTACTGTAATGAATTGCATGACTTTTTCTTTCATTTGAAAAAGTTTGAATATAGCAACTAGTAGTTAGTTACTCAAGGGCTTTGTCTACATTAAAAGAACCAAACATCATAGAAATTACAGTTTGTTAACCACAGACTGTAAGTGTTAAGGAGCTTCAACAAATGTAGAGTTAAGAAAAGGTATGTGTGCCAGCCTGAATTCTGTGCAGGAAGAGAAAATTAAACAATAATCAACAGTTTTCAGCATTTCTATGGCACTTTTTAATCTCTTCTGATCCTTAGAGAACAGACCTGGAAATCGAGGGAAATCTTATTCTTCCCATTTTGCAGATTTGAGTAACAGCTGTAGCTGTAAAAAAAAAAAATGCCTTGCCTAAGGCTACCTAACCGATTCAGAGCAGAGGTGAGCCAGCATTTTCTGATTGACGGCCCATTCTTGTTCCAGATGTTGTGTCAGCCCTCCCAAAGTTAGCAACCTTTAGATGGGTTGGATAACAACTTCTATAATTCCTAGCCAACATGTTATTTAAAGAGCACCAAGTGGAGAAAGGCTCCACCAGTTCTCCTGGGGAACTTTGTTTCTTCATACAATTTAATGCTAACTCTTGGTGTTCTCAGCTCTTGCTCAGACTGAACTCTACGTGGGCTTCTGCAGCATTCAGTTCCTGCAATTGTGCTTTCTAAGTAAGGACCAGAGCCAAATGTCTACACAATACCTTCTTATTAAAAGAGCGATTGGGACACTGGCCTTGAGGGACCAGTTCAGACCTGAAGTGTTAATAATTTATGCAGAAAAATGCCAACATCCCTATGTTTCATTTCATTAGCATTCTTTCAACTGCCATTTGTAGCTCTGCATTGGTCCAGGGGGATCCATTGCCTTGGTAAATTGGGCCCTCAGCATCAGGATGGGCAAGACCTTTTGTATGTTTCATGCTGTTTAATAGCTCATTAGTTCTGCAAGGTAGCAATTTTCTTTTTTAGATGCAGAGAAATATTGGGGGAGGGGGTGGAAAGAGAGAAGAGAAAAAACCACCGATTGGAAAACAATCCCCTTCTTATCCATTCTTTTGTATTTATGATATTCCTTCAGAATTATTTGCAAGCAAGGAAGTTAAAAAAATGTGCCAGGTAAAATTGTTGCCTCCCAGGCAAAATTTTCAAAGTTTCATTATGATGGGGATTGTCCTTTGTTAAAATACAATTAGTCATGCCTCCAAACAGGTGTTTCTCTTAATTTATCCAAGTTCTTTCTTATTTTTCTTTGATTTATCCTACCCCTATTTTTAAATGAACTTTTCTGTTTAGCTTCTGCCATTCAAAGAATGTCTGCCACGAGTGTATTAAGGCATTGTTTGGAATCTAATTCTGCCAGTCTAGGAAAAGAAAAGAAATCTTCACAGCGTTTAACTTTACTTCTAGACTCTGATTCAGCAGAAGTCTTGTCAGACTCACTCCAAAGGACAGCTAAAGAAGAATCTTTATTGCTAACTAGAATGGAGTCATGATGAACAGCTGATTGTCAGTTCGAGGATGCAGGAATGGTTCCCTTTTATATCTGCAGCATTTTAAGCCCTATTATTGCTGCCTCCTGGTTTTCCCATTTTCAATGAACTCTGCCTGGCCTTCATGCCCTTGAAGGCAAAGGACTGGTTGGTCATTGACCTGACATCTCTGTCGTGAGAACTGCTGCCTCTCAGCTTAGCTTTCACAGATTCAAAGTAACTTATTTTCTTTTTGATGTTGTTGACTAAATAGATATATTTGCGTTTGATACACAGAGAATAAATGCAGGGTTTGAAGAGCAATAGCTAAAAGATGATAATAGGCCTTCATCACCATTTTCTTGCAGAACCATCCTTAACTCTAGACTTCGTAATGAAAGCATCTGAAACATGTAATATACAATATCCATTCTTCTGTTTGTGTCAACAACTGCTGATTTCCTTCCAAACACATCAGAATTCAATCAGTCTAATGTGTGTGCTGAGGGGTGGGGGTGGGAAATTATGAACAGCCTACTGATTCTTTTTTGTGGCATGTAGCCATCTCATTGATCTTGTTATACACATATTTAATAGCAGCGGCGTCTATAGATGTTAGGATGGGTGACAAATGCCAGAGCTGTACTGTGTTTGTCTTTGTCATTATTTTCACCAGCATTTTCAATGCCAAAAGACAAGCCTCTGTAGAGTCTAAACAGGATTTTGTTTATTTGGCATTGAGAACTGGTATATCAAAATAATAAATGAAATTATGGTACAAATGTCTGATGATCCCTCTGCAGGCCTGTGAATCTTTGTGGTTTCCTCATTTGTGATCCAAATATTAGAGTTTTAATTAATTTTTGTCCCATTTTAAATGCACTGCAAGTTGGTCTTATGATTTCACCTTAAGACATTAAAATCTCAATCCTCTGCTATTTAGCAATATCACTTTCAGGTTTCAGGGACTTTCTGCCCCCCCCCCCCCAACATGTAATTCCTAACTATTTTATTGATTGTAAAGGGAAAGACATGACAGAAAGGGAGGGGGGAGATTGTGGCACATACTAATCTGACAGTTTTCTTCTTTTCTCTCTCTACCTCCTGGGTGAGACACCCCAAATCAGCCAGTGTGGTTGAAAGTGTTTCTGCTTGCCTATTATTAGCATCAGTTTGGGATCATTCTCATAGATCTATATCTGGTTTAGTGGTGGAAGTTAAATGAGGCCATACTTCAAAGCATAGGCAAGTAAGAAGCAGTTTCTGATTCCTTAGTAAGTTATTGATTCCCATTTGCTTCATTTCAGCCAATTACATTTTGCCTCCAGCAAGAGCATGGGGAGAAGGAAAGGGAAAGGGAAAGGGGAAAACATAGATGAAAGAAATGAAATTTCTCAAATTTATAATTTATAAATTTCAAATGACTGACTCTTCCATTGGAAGGGGAGTGTTATGTTAGCTGGAGAAAAACAGCAGCACTCTATAAACAGGAGGAAAGAATTATAAATTATTCTGTTATTCAGTTTTAGTACCTGCACGGACAATGTCATGATGAAGCTTAGAACCTAGATGGCACTAAATTTTAATTGTGTCTGGGTGGAATGTGGAGTTTCTTGGGGTTTTTTTTTTTTGTCTCATTTAAATCAGACTGTAAAATTTTAATCTAGTTTATTTATGTATGTATCCTAAAGCTAAGTTTTC